TAGAGTGTTTAATAATTCTATAGGTGGCGAGCGCGCAATAATCTTCCCAAGAGACGGTGTGCGGCGGGTTGACACACTCATCCTCCGAGTTAAGGCTTCACACACCATATGTTCTCGGGTTGGCATTGTCCCTTCCGCCCACAGGGTTCTTTTTAGAAAGGTTGGATATTTTGGGAGAAATTGGGAATGACATTATCCTGGCCTGTGAGGCGGATATTGTTGGCTCGCTTCGATAAGGTAAACGAGGTAAAGGGGGTGAGAGTAGACACTAGTAAGGACATTTGCTCTCTTTCTAGGTTCCTTTGAAGGCGCACTATCGTGTGGAACCCTCCGGGGTTTACTATTCAAGCGGACGATCGCTGGTCACAGTCTATTGACACCTGTGCATCACAGGATTTGATAGTCACCCCAGAGAGAAATCCCATGTGGAGTGCTCAAAATGTGCTTGGATATTAAGGCTGAGCATACAAGGTTATGGCTACGCTCCTAGAGTGTATGACGTCCACCCTGACTCCATATACAATCTCGCGAACCCCTTGAGAAGTACGATGCTGTGACCTCTACGAGTATCGTAAGAGGGGAGTGCACTCCTTCCCTCTTTCCCCGCTCGCTACTTTTGATCCAGGCATGGTACCTGTGGGAGACTACATGACTTCCAGTCAAGCTAGGGGGACCTCAATATAAAGATAAGTTGCCTACCCACACGGCCTACTCTTGGAACCTTTTTCACTTTGTCCCAGGCCCCACCAACGGGAAGGGATAATGGAAGATGCCCGATTGAGTTGTTCTTATCGCTGTAATGGTCGCCACTAGGAGTCGTCGAGCTCGCACGCCCTGGTGGCTGGGAAACCAGCCAACGCAGTACACCATGGCGAGGCATACAAATAGTGTTGGAACATTGAAAATTCCCTATGCTCCCATTTTCCTTTTCTCACCTATTATTCCTCGTCACTTTGCTCCCCTCCACCGTCTCACTACCCTTCCACGCTCTCCTCTCCTCCTCTTCTGTTCATGTTGGTTAGTTCGGATAGCACAAATTATAACTCGATGTGAATTCGGGAATAGCGAAGTTCGTACTCTGCGTAGAGTAAGTATCCGGATACAGTGGTGGGAGCGGCTCCGTACTGGGTTTGCGGAGATGATTGTCTTGTTTTTGTTGGAGGGGGTTTCGGTTAGGTATTGGCCGCCTGGGGGGGGGTGACTAAAGGTGATGGATACTTCATCCGCTTGCCCGGGTCCATTGAGTATATTCGAGTTACCGAGTGAGATGGGGTCATCTTAGCTGGTGGGGTTAGGGCTAAAGGTCGACCTGCACCCGCACAGCACTAGTAATGATATTCCCTGCGGGTATTTAACGGATGGCGTCTAGTGCGAATTGTAGTTGCTTACTCATGGAAACTGAGCTCTGCATGACTTAGCGCTCAACATACTAGTTAGTATCTCACTCCAAGTTCTATTCCAGGTGCCTACCCTTTTTATTTTATTTTCGTCAGGCTCTTTTCCCGTCCTGTACTTCAAGACGCAGCCTTGCAGATGCCGAATAAGCCATTGCCGCTCAAAGTCATCCAGGGTTCGTTCCTGAATAAACTTAGCCCAGGTTCTGATGGGCTTTCGGGGGGAGGACTTGAGTGAAGCACTGTTTACCCAATTTAGCACCAAGTAGTCCAATGTCACGGCTAGTTTATGTGCATGATACTTTTGCCTTCGACTTTAGTCCTCTTCATTAACTTTCACCTCTTACGCTACTTCTCGTAGTGCAACTCCACTGTTGCTCACTTTCATCCATCTGATTTGATCCGGTATATCTAGGAATCATAAAATTACCATGGCACTCGGATTTACGCGAAGGTGAATATATAAGGAAGCGGAGAAGGAAGGAAGCAATCACAAGACAGCCTTGGCAACTAGGATGGTGTCAGCGAGGCTGGCAGATACCGGTAGAACTTTGTGCTCCGGGGCTTGGCTTTACCATTTACAGAGGTTGATACATCTCGAGTGGGGGGGCAGGGTGGGGTGGGTAAATAGGCTGCTACGACACGGAGCTGCTGTCATACCGTAAAACTGATAATTAGGGGGGCTTGAATTTCCGGGAATGGTGGCTGGTACGGATGGGTGCAGTTAATGAAAATAGTGAGAGAGGGAGGGAGGATTACTTTTGCAGTGTCAGCTGGCCGCGATATCACCTCGGAGGGAGAAAGAAAAAAAAGGTGGTAACAATTAGATCTTCACCTATCTTGTGGATGTGTTGTTACGTTATCACATTGCTCGATATCCCTTCTTCCATTCCCAGACAAGATGCTTCACTCCATCGCACTCGGAACAAATTCCAATGTCGCCCGAGGGGATATCCAACCCGCGACATCCCACTTCAGGGCCCCGCGCAATTCCTTAAACCGAGCTATCCCGAGCTGGGGGCACGAGCACTCCTCCGTTATAACCAACCACACCGTTAAGTAACGTAACTTGAAAGCCCCGGAAGTGATCCTAGGATCAGTAAATTAACCAATTTCCAAGTCCGGGTCTTTGTGGCATCTTCCATTGCGGCGGCGGCTGCGAATACCTGCTCGGAAACTGGGAATCTCACAATTGGTAATCAGTGGCCAATCCCAGTGATTTGTCCTTTCTTGCTCTTTACTTTCCCCCCTCTGGAAGTGACACATTATCTGCAATGGCCGCGTTCTAACGTGCTTTGTCCTTGCTAGATAGTACTAAAGACGTGACTCGTGAGTGCTCAATACCTTTCACGGTGCTCCAGCATACTTTGTTCATTTCCCATTTCCTCTTTCTCCCAATCCGCTAAATGTTATTCCTAATACAGGATATCAGGTTGTGCCTAGACCACCGCCCGGCGGTATAACATCATCGCCATGTCAAGCTTGGTCTTCCCAAGTTCCCATCCTTCAATTCCCCTCGTGGACAATATTTAGTTCCACCAGGGAGGAAGAGAAGAGAAGAAAAAAAGGGATATCGTGATCATCGGAAGCACGAGTGGCCTCGCAAAGGAAGTCAGTGATTAAATCCTTGCCCGCCCCTCCCCTCTCCTGTCCTACCCCCCTGCATACATGTGGTAGCCCTGAGGAAGGACGTAGCATAGAGGAGACAGGCGAACCCTTTTGCCTGTATTTGTTAGCAAACACCCCAAAAAGGTGCACCAGTGTCTAGAGGACAATTCTTATTGATTGGCGAAACTGATGAGTTGCATTTCAGGCACAAATGTAAGGGAGATTTTCGGAAACGTGGTGGCTTAAAGGAGTTGTGGGACATGTACTCGAGCATGAAAATCGTTACAGCTTGGACTATCGGTGTACGAGTATCCGACAATATCCGGCCGTTTATCTCTGCCTTGGATAGATCCCTTGAGCCCCAACCCGCATAGCCTAATATACCTTTCCCTTTCCCATACTAACGCTCTTGTGGCCCATATTCCTCTAAAGAGTGTACTACGTGTGGGAAGCAAGCTGTTTTGATATACGGGCTCATTTCGGCGGCCTTCGGTACCTCCCTATTCTCCAGTGAACAAAAGGCATGAGATGAGACTTTATGATACAGCTAACCTTGCAAGACACGATAAGATCAGTATCTCCTACAAAGCAGGTAGTCTTCCATCAGGAAAGCAGCAGCCCGCAAAGTAGCGTACACAAGCCGGCCCGAGTACGATACCACCTCCGCCAGCTGGTCAAGTACTCCTAGTCAGACCCTCTCTCATGCTGTTGTATCACCAGTACTGTTATATCTTCCCTTACCTATCCGTCCATCCGAGTTTCATCCATCAACACGACATGCCCCCAATCAAACCCTCCATCCGTGGAGACATTCTTCCCATCTTGTTATTTCTTCCCAGGAAAGTGAACAATTCATCCCACCATCCAAATCCCCAAAGGACGGTATCCAGCGCACCCTTTCCCAGTTGAGGGAATTGAGGGGTTCAATTATGCACCAGTGTTCGCTAGATCATCACGTATGGCAGATATCAACGGGTGATGATGTGCGAATTACCCCCAAGCAACACTTGCACTTTCGGAAAATTACACTCCTGGTACTATACTATACTGTACGACAGGAAGTTGCCCTTTCTTCCAACTCCCTCGCGAAAACGACGGTAGGTATTATGCCAATCGCCGATCATCAATGACACAAGTGATCCAACCCACCAGGGGCGTGGGGCGGCAGATCGAAACCATCAGCCAGCACGGTAGTTGGTTTAGCAATCGTAATGGAGAGGTCGCGGTCGTGGTCGTGGTCGTGGTGGTTGTGTTCCTAATGTTCCCTCTAACCAGTAACTTATCATACAGCGCTCGTACAACACTCTATCGTACCAACCAGTCATCCCGAACAGAAGACTACCGGTGCTCATCCTCCTCCTAGAACGTGCTCCAGATAGGGTCTAACCGCCCCCCTCCCTCCCCCCGCAGATCCTTTACCGGAATGGATGATGCCCGCCTTCCCCCCCCACCCCCTTCTAGCACTATGAACGGGATTGTGAAAAAAGAAAAAGAAAAAAAAACCCCCGACTGCGTGAGTAGGAGCGGGTATGCCTCGGGGAGGTGTACCATGATCCATCATTGTGCGCTCAGATAGTAGGGGTGTAGGGAGTGCAGGCTTTGTGTGTGGCCAGCTTTTGAGCAAAGTTCCAACTTATCCCGCGGCCGAGGCGTTCCCCGAGTGATGACTTGTGCAATGTTTACCAAAACCCAACGTTAATCGCATTGCTAAAGTACAGGTAACAGTGTGATACAACCCAAAACTACGGAACAGGCCAGGTAAATAGGTGAACAAAGAGGGAGAGGGGAAAGAAAGGAAATAGAGGAACAAAAAGAAAAAGAAAAAAACAACTCCGCAGATCCACGTCTAGCTTCGCTCCCTAGTATACAATTCCCTTTCGTTGGTCTAACGATTGCCTCCCAAGTCAATCCTCCTCGCCCCCTCCCCGATTAGCTATACCTCCCTCCCCCTCATCTCTCGTTCCCCCTGCTTATCACCACCCCCCTCCCCATCTTTAGTCACGACAACCCCCCCCTCTTCCCAACAGCGCGATCGACCGCCTCCCTTCTAAGCGGGGGCATAGAGCTCGCCCTACTCTCTCTAAACTCCTCCACATCTCTATATAACCCCCTCTCGCGGATGTACTCAATCACAACCTGGGGCAAAAGATACTGCACGCTCATCCCCTGCCTAAGAAACTGCCTGATGCGCGTGGAGCTAATATCATTTGCAATCAGCTGGCGAACAACATGTATGTTCTCCATCCAGTCCTTCCCCATGGCATCGCTCCACTCCTTCAGCGGGGCGAGGGCGTCGGAAATGTCACTGCCGGACCGCTCGATTATGAAGAGGCCGTGGGCGGTGAGGATGTGGTTGAGGTCGGATTGCGACCAGACGCCGGGTTGCGACATTGTCTGCAGAAGGTCGGATCCCCCGAGGAGCATCACTCGGGCGGGTTTGCGTGGAGTGGCGGTGGGCACGGTCAGGGAGTTTGAGGATGGGGGCGGGGGGTAGGAAATACCGCCGAGGTTGTGGTTTATTTCGTAAGAGATGTGGTCCAGGACCACCGCCGTTGGTTGGTACTCTGATTGTCCGGCTTCCCACGGGTCAACCATTAGCCAGTCCGAGGTCTCGTCGCACGCCAGTTCGCACATCCGCACTCTGATCAATTTCCTCCATCAGCAAACATTCCCGGCCGAAGGGTGGAGGAGCGGTGCTCACCGATGAGCAGCACTCGCCAAACCAGCCTTGTTATACCGATCACTGACAGGACTCAAGTAACCACCCACAACCTCAAACTCACTCATCCCCTGCTTGACGTGATCCACGGCCATCTCGAACATGCGCAAGTGCATGTGTGTTATCGGCGAGAAACTCCCGCACGCTACCAGGACCAAGGGCATCTTACCCCCATCCCGTAGCGCTCGTAATCGGTGCGACGGGAACGTGTATTCCGATAATGAAGGGTTTGGGGTAGAGACATTGGATGAGGAGACCATAGCTTTCTCCCGAGAGCAGGGGGAAGGAGGGGGGGGAAAAGAGTGTATGGTACAGATATAGAATTAGGAGAGGGTTGGATGTTTCGTATGATATTCTAATTATCTGGGCAGAGACCCTTTGTAAGGGTGTTGGGTTGAGTTTTTGGTGAACTGGGGAGGGAAGTGATGCGGGTCGAGGGCGATGACGACAATGACGATAGTTTTTCTGTGTTTTTACTGGTTTCGCGAGGACGGTATTACTGACGGTATCCTGGGTACTCCATCCCGGCGTAGTTTCGCGAGACGGCCTGGGGAATTTGTTTGTACGAGTATTATTCGTACCAGTGCTCACCCCTGAAGCAAGGAGCCGGAAGCCGGAATCCTTCCATGTGCCGGCGTAAAATGGGTGTACTCGAGTATCGGCAGAGGAATTGCGCCCGTTTGCAGTGCACCACCACTACTGTACCTCGGAGGGGGCAACCTGTGAAGGCCCGAAGGCTGTGATACGGTACTCGGACCGCGATCATACTCCTCCCTATCAACTACCGCTACCGCTACTTGGGCTGTCTTTTTCGCTTTTTACCCGTTCCTTCATCCCTCTTCCCCCCCTTCCCTTCCCTTCTCCGTTTCCCCCCCAAGCCCTTCCCGATAACGGCTTAACTCACCAAACAGTACTCGAGTATCTCCTCGGAGCCGTACAGCACGGTGCAGTAAATCTCATCTAATCTACAACGGCCGTCTCAAACTGTGTACCGGTACTTTTGTAAGGTCATGTTCCGCCTTGTCTACCGGTACTCGTAATGGCCCTCCATACCGCACCATATCACATCAAACCCTTCTCCTACGCCCGCACATGGTCTGTTTTCTTTTGCGGCCGATTCCTGGGTACTCGTACCTGGTTCGGATATGTCCGACGGGAAGGGAGCAATGGCGCGCGAGAGTGAAAGAAGGAAGGGTTCGCACCAGGGCAATGCAGGTGGGGAAATCAAAGGAAAAAGGAAGGAAAGGAAGAAGAAGAAGGAGGA